GAGACCACAAAGCCTTCTGAATCCTTCTGCATCTGACGAAGTGGGTCTTTGCCCACGAAAGCTTATGCTCCAATACATCTGTTAGGCTATAAGGTTCCACAGGACTCCTTGTCACTTTTGTTGAATCCTAGAGCATCTCAATGCTAGATGGTTGCTCCAGGCCAATACTGGGACAGCATAGGAAAATTTGTAATATTGCGGTCTAGATAGTCAGAGAGCTTCGGACTTCAAAGACTGACAATTTTCCGGATTTCGTTAACACTGGTAGAATAATGGGGGGTTTTAAGATATCTGAAAGATCTCTCCTCCCTATAATGACTCCATGAATTGTATTACAAGTTGTAACAAAAACGCAAATAAAATATAAAGCTGTACGAGCTAACAACATTTCAGAAGTAGAGTTCCTTCTTCTCTCACAGCAAAAAAATTATTAGAAAGGAAAATACAGAGATTAGAAAGTAGTGTCTATCATAGGCAGTGCTCCCTTTAAGACTTTTCATCCCTGAACAGAGTGAGTTTTGTCTCGTGCACCAACATTGACATCATGTGTGCTTGTTCGGATATGCACCAGTTACTAACAAAACACACACACATATAAATACACGGTTCAGAGAGAGAGAGAGAGAGAGAGAGAGATTTAACTTGTTATACAAAAAAAATCCTAAACCAAGGGATAATTAACATGGTGCATGACTCTTTGGTACAGGAATCAGGACAAGGGGTGGGAGGTATGGGGGGGGCTCAGGCCAGAGGGTACAGGATTCAGGGCAGAGCGGAGCTCAGTATGGGAGGCTGAAAGGTTGGGGAGGTAGCAGCTTCTTGCTGAGGGGTGGCTGAAGCTGAGTTGCCCATTTCTCTGGTGGTTTCTTGCAGGGTATGGCCCCAGGACTGGGCTACCTGACCCCTCCGGAAGCTGTTTGCTGGGGGGAGGGACATGGAGCTGGGCTGCCCAACCCCTAGCCAGCTGGCAGCTCTTTATAGGAGGAAGGGCTGGGGCTGGGATGCCCAGTTCCATCAACTGGGGAGCAAGGGAAGAGCCCAGTGCTACCAGCCAGCTGCCCACCTGGCCAATGCTGCAACCGAGAGCCTCAGCCAGGGCCACCAGAGCAGCTGCCACCACCCGCCACGCAGCTCCCTGCCATAGCTAGAACCAGGCCTGGTGAGGCTGCTCCAGCAGGGACAGTGTCACCGTGTCCCAGCTTCAGCTGGAGCAAACGGGGGCAGTCGCCTGCTACCACATGGCCCCACCAGAACGCATCAGGCCACTACCACCACCACCACTCATCTTCCAGTCCAGCAGGAAAGCGAGTGGTGGTGAGTGCCGTGGTGCGACTCTGCAGGCTAAGTGAGCAGCTTACAATTTTTTGTGCACAGCTTAAAGGGAGCCCTGATAATCGTATGACCACACACCTTCTGGGTGTGGTGTACTGTCCCGTCATGGGGCACTGAGACCACTTAGAGAAAGAGAATAATGAGTTGGCTCTACAGCATGAGCTAAAAGCCAGCTGGCTATCAGCTAATGTGGTAGAGGTTCACACTCCATGTTCCAGAGGTCACAAATGCGATGGGTTAGAACAGTGGTCCCCAACGCGGTGCCCGCGGGCGCCATGGCGCCCGCCGGGGCATTTGTAGGCGCCC